GCTTCACTTACATTCATACTATCGATCGCCACTTAGCACGATCCTGACGCCTCTCTTGCTTCACTTACATTCATATTATCGATCGCCACTTAGCACGATCCTGATAAACCTCTCTTGCTTCATTTACATTCATACTATCGATCGCCACTTAACACGACCCTGACAAACCTCTCTTGGTTCACTTACATTCATAGTATCGATCGCCATTTAGCACGACCTGACAAACCTCTCTTGGTTCACTTACATTCATAGTATCTTTATTGATTATGGAGATTTATCAACACTAGATAAAACCTACTAACAATAGTCTATTATTATTCAAGAAACTGAATGATCCGATCAGAAAGGCAATCTACGACAAGAAGATCGCACCTAAAGGACAGAAACCGAATTTCTTAAGCATGAAGGAGGGGGTTGAACTCATAAGACGGGTAAGTATTCAAACAAACTAAATACATGACCTCAATAGGAACAGTAGAGCTCCTTGTGAAATGCTCCATGGAAGTACTGCCACCATACTTATTACGACCGCCAAGCCACAATGTGAGCATTAATGCGTTTCGATTTTAAGTGGCCCTTATTTTCTTTTATGATATGATGTGACGGGACGAGTAAGTCTTGCGCCTGATGGTAAGTTACACGCCAGTCTATAACAGTTACAGTGCCACTAAGATCTTTAAATCGGAAAGATTTGAGGGGCACTGCCACTGTCTGTCACCCTGAGACACAAGTGGTCCCTGTGATGTCACCAGCACCCTTACCCTTTCAAAACTTTTTATTAGCGGCAGAAACTGTCACGCAGCAACTTGCCTATTTCTCTCGCCAAGCAGTAATATGAGCATTACTGTGTTCGGGATTAGAAGGGAAAGGGTGCTGATGTAGTTACAGGCACATGGGACCTGTCAATGTGTCTCAGGGTGACGGGCGCAGTGGCAGTGCCCCTTAAATTTTTGAGATTTAAAGAGAGCTTTACTATAAGCGGCTCTGCAACTGTTATGGACAGGCGTGTCGCTTACCATCAGGCGCGCGACTACTTCGTCCCTACACATGGTATCATAAAAAATATTAAAAACCTTATCGTATCGTAGGCATCGTCCAGTTCAAACTTCGTAGAGCATTGAGTATTTTAATTGCAGGGCCTATTCGCGTTTCATATGGAAACAAATCCTGGCTACAGGCTGATCCAAGAGACGTACCAGGAGGACGAGAAGTGTGACCTGGTCGAAATCGACTACATCAATTTAATTGATCCATGGTTACCAGGACAGAAACGATCTCCGTTTAAAAATTTGTTTAAAATCAAGTAAGTTTGCTTATACCTCGTCAGAGGACTGCTATGAGCGACGTCAAAACATGGGCGTTACGTCAACATGTCGTTTTAAGTATATTAGTACAACGCAGCATCACAATGCAACGTGTCGTCGCAACGCTGCAACGCATCGTGTAACATTGCTCTAGCGCATTTTATAGTGATAATTGACTGAATTTAGTTGAACTTACAGTGTCATTGATGTGCTAATGGCATAGAGTCAGCCTTTCCTTTGGTAGTATCTCTCACTTCATCCGAAAATGGTTAGTTATTAATTGGTTGCTAAAATTTAAAACCTCAAGGTAGATGAGGTGAAGTTATAAGCGTAAGAATAAAAATGAAAGAGAATTGACGGAACAGACAAACAGCAACAGTAGAGCGCTTTGTGAAAGAGTTCGTCCAACGAAGTACTGCCACCTTAGCCATTTCTGCCGCCAAGCTGTAATGTTAGCATTCCTGCGTTCCGGTTTAGATGGGACTTCAGATCTATGCGATTTAAAGCTCTGAGTGGCACTGTAACTGTTATGGACAGGCGTGTAGCTTACCATCAGGCGTACGACTTGTTCGTCCCGTCACTTGATATTATAAAAAAAACTTAAAAGGCGAATGCCTCTTCTTCTTCTTCTACTTCTTCTTCTTGTTCTTCAACTTCGACTAAGAAGTCGTTGAAAAAATCAAATACAAAGATACGACGCAAGCACATAGAAAAATTCGTGAGGTTCGCTGGTTCGTTCCGTGGCTTAGTTGGTAGCGTCTGACACGGTATGCTAGAAGACGTCGGTTCGAATTTATAACAATAACTCTTTATTGCACAAAGAAAAGATACATGAAACACAAGTTATAAAGGACATATACAAAGGTGAGCTTATCTCTAGAAGAGATCTCTTCCAGCCAACCCTAGCATAGGTGAAAAATGAAGTCTGCGGGACTAATTATTGTACAATAAAATTAAAATTTATATAATAATAATCGAATTTTTTTCTGAGTGTTCGATCTTCGTATTAATAATTATAACAAACTAGTGGAATAATTGCACAAACAATAATGCGTATCAATTCAATTTAAATTTCATAAACACTATTATTTTGGGGATTTCTTTAATGCACCACTAAATATGTCGGTATAATAATTACTCACCAATAGTACATATATTAATTATTAATTTGACAAATAAAGACAAGTGTATACACCTCTTTCAGCTTCGTAAAAATCCGCGAAACAGGTCTTCAGGCTGCCATTAAAGGCCGTATGCTCGTATCGCGTCCTCGGTGCTTGGGCTCTGTATCCAAGTTCAGCTCGGTTGGCATCATCGACATGTATCCTGCAATGTTGGCCACCTTATACGGCATGGTGATGGCTCCGGCTGTCCTGATCCTGGAGATACTTTATAAGCGACTGTAAGTTATTAAACCACGCTACTTTTGTGTGATTGTCTGTATTATCAGTAAATGATGTGTAAAGAATAATCACATGAACCAGAAAGTTTACATCTTAGAAATAAACAGAGAAAAATTAGACCTTGTTAATAAAGCAGTCTTCGTGGTAGTTACCTCCGATAGTAAACTTCAATGATTTCCACATATATCTTCTCGAGTCTATTATTACATACTGCATTCCGGTCTGGGGTGGTGCAGCTAAGTCAAAATTTATTGAAATAGAACGAGCTCAACGTGGTTTGATCAAAATGATGTATTTTAAAAAAAGAATTTACTCCACAGAAAAATTGTATAAACTGACAAAGCTGACTTCTGTTAGAAAACTCTATATACTCTACACAGCACAGTAATAAAACAACATAAAAATTTACTATATAAACCTAGGGTTACAGGTAGAAGAACATATCATAAAATTGCATTAGTACCAAAAATAAAAACTACTGCGGCTAGTAGACAGTACAAATACAGGGCCTCATATCTGTATAACACTCTTAACAAAGAACTTGATATATACAACAAAATAGTTTATGACTGCAAATTAGCCATTACAAAATGGCTCGAAACTAAGTCGTATGAGGAGATTGAGCAATTACTACTAGTTTGAAATAAATAAATAAATATATAAATAAATAAGTAAACATAAAAGCGAGGTATTAGTTGATATAATATAATATATATAGTAATTAAATGAAATCAAAACTGAACAGAAATATGTGCGCTCACACACACACACACACACACACACACACACACACACACACACACAC